GAGATAGGAACATCAATGATGAGAGAGAACCAATGATTAGCTGCCTCCTGCACACCCCCTACTGGGGATCAAGCCCACAACCCAGGCATGTGTCCCTGACCGGAATTGAACCCATGACCTTTCAGTCCACAGACCGATGCTCTACCAGGGGTCCTCAAACTTTTTAAAGTGGGGGCCAGATCACGGTCCCTCAGAGAGCTGGAGGGCTGGACTATATGAACTACTAATTCCTACTGTAACACCTCGGCTGCGCTCACTGCCCAAAAAAACTGGCGGGCCAGATCAGACTCCTCTGCGGGCCGCATGTGGCCCGCGGGCCGTAGTTTGAAGACGCCTGAAACGGCTAGGGCAGAAAAAACAATTATTAATCTTCCCTCCACTCACTCTAATTCCCAAGTCTAACCCCTCTCTCCTTCCTCTCTTTACTCCAATAACTTCTTGCTTCTTTAGTCTTTTCTTCTTCTTCTTCTTCTTCTTCTTCTTCTTCTTCTTCTTCTTCTTCTTCTTCTTATCTCTTTATCTTCTATCATACAAGCAATCTCTTTCATTTGGCTCTTCCTAGTGTTTGCTTAACTTTCAAAAAAGCTCCCTTCTCTTAGATCCCAGCTTGACTCATCCCTTGAGCTGTCCAACATTCTGCAGTGCTTTGTGAGAGCTGCTTCTTGCTCTACTGTCTTAATCCTTCCCTCTCATCACCAGATCCACTCCAATCCTTCGATGAGGTTAGAGTCTGCCGGTAGCTAAGTAATTATTAGTAACAAGTCCAAAGGCTTTTTTCTCGATTCTATCTTCCCCATGGAGCTCATGCTCTGAAATTTCCTCTCTACTATTCTTCAGGCCTTTCTTTCTTTTCTGAAGGTCTTAGAACTGATCTCTTCCATAGAATTTTCTCTAAGAATTGGCATATACCCACTTCTTTTGAATTCAGTTTAACCCACACATAGCTTATCCTTTTTACTCTGCTTTGCCCTAAACTAAGTTGCTTTACTCTCCTTTGAGTGAATGTGAAATTAAGGGAGGGAAAGTAAAAATTTGCAGGCAGATCACATTGAGAGTCTTCGATTTAAATTTTCAAAATAATGAAACCCTTGAGATAAATTCAAGGATTATAGGCCAGACTGTTCTAGTAACAAATGATCTACAAAGTGAGGTCCACAAAGCAGCAGGTCATTGTCACCTGGGAGCTTGTTAGAAATGCAAAATTTTAGGTTCCACCCAAAACCCACTGAGTCAGAATCTAGGCTTTTAACATGAGCTCCAGGTGACTGACATATATATTGAAGTCTGAGAATCACTTGTCCAGTGGTCCAGCAAACACCTGCCACTAGAGCCTCCATCAAAAATGTTCCAAGCACCACCTGGGAAGTTTACTGCTAGTAGGGCAGAGTTTGGTATGAGGGTGATCTGGTTGCCACACCTAACACCCTGTGATGAAGAGGATTGACTGCATTCATCTCCTGGCCAGGTGGTGGCTTCTTTCCCTCATCATTCCTGGTATAGGTTCATTCCTCTAAAGCACATGTGTCAAACACAAGGCCCGCGGGCCAAATCCGTCCCGCCAGACCTTGCAATGTGGCCCGCACCGCGCTGTCATCACTGCACTCCGCTGCGTTTCCATCACAATGACAGTTTATGACTGTTCAGTAAACCATTCGGCCCGCGATTTAGGCTGGATTTTAGATTTTGGCCCCTTCTCTGATTGAGTTCGACACCCCTACTCTAAAGCTACAAAGGGGTTTGAAGAGGACAATCTTTCCCAAAAGAGGAAGACTATTCTTCAACCAAGAGTATAGACAAGCTTATAGAATCTTTGGTCAAGTGGATACATCCTACTGGAGAGTTAGAAAACATTTTCTGTAATCCTTTCCAACAAAAGAAAAACAGGCACAAACAACATAAAACCAAAATATAACAATAGTTTATACTCTCCATTATCTCACTCAATAAATATTAAGCATCTCCTATATGTCAAGCACTATTCTAGATATTGAGGTTATAGCAGAGAACAAAACAGACACAATCCCTGCATTAGTGAGTTCACATTCTAGAGTAGGGGTGTCGAACTCAATCAGAGAAGGGGCCAAAATCTAAAATCCAGCCTAAATCGCGGGCCGAATGGTTTACTGAACAGTCATAAACTGTCATTGTGATGGAAACGCAGCGGAGTGCAGTGATGACAGTGCGGTGCGGGCCACATTGCAAGGCCTGGCGGGACGGATTTGGCCTGCGGGCCTTGTGTTTGACACATGTGTTCTAGAGGATGGAGATGGACAACACACAAGTATGTAAAATAGCAGGCAGTGGCAGTGCTTTAAGGAAAAACAGGGTGGGGGAGCCCGCTATTGAAGATGGGTGGTCATGGAGTGCCTCCGCAAGGTGAAGATATTTGGGGATATACCTGCATGAAATGAAATCATCCAGATACTTAGGAGAAGAGGAGGAGTTCCTACCTCATGGCTAACCAAAGGCCTTGAGGTAGGAACAGAGTTGCAGTGTTTAAGAAACAGCAAAAAGACCAATAAGTGAGGTTGGAGCAGACAGATTAAACAAGAAAGAGAGTGGAAGCAAATCACATAGGGTCTTTAAGGAGCTTAGATTTTATATATATTGTGTGTGTGTGTGATATATATATATATATATATATAACAGAGAGGAAGGGAGAGGGATAGAGAGTTAGAAATATCCATGAGAGAAAAACATCAATCAGCTGCCTCCTGCACATCCCCCACTGGGTATGTGCCTGCAACCAAGGTACATGCCCTTGACCGGAATCAAAGCTGGGACCCTTGAGTCTGCAGGCCGACACTCTATCCACTGAGCCAAACCTGTTAGGGCAGGAGCTTAGATTTTATGCTAAGTGTGATTTTATGTGATTTCAAAGTATTGCGCCTGGAGGAGCGATGTGCTCTGACTGAGAATTTAAAAGGCTCTCTGGCTGCTGTGTGGGGAATAGACTAAGGAGGCAGGAGTGGAGGCAGGGAGGCTGCTGTCAGGGTGTTGGCTGGTTTAGATTTGGGAGGTCACAGTGGTGGTGAGAGAAGTCACAACAATCTCAACTTCCCTGATAAAGCCTATTTACTAAGTCATTGCTAGATGATTTGAGTGATTTTTAAAAAAATCTTGGATGGGAAACTGGCTTAGATGTCAAAAACAAAGAAGAGGAATAATAGGGTTTCTTTGGGTTGAATACTGTTAACAGTATCCCCAGGGAATCTGCGTTATTTAACATATCACAAAACATTAAGAAAAGGGGATACTGTGAGACATTTTTGGGTACACAAATTATACTCTGCTTTCCACATGTGAAATAGCAAGTCAACGGGGAGCTCTGCTAGAACATTTGTAAAGCTGTGTGAGGAGGCCAGGAAGGGGCAGGTGGCCTGCCACACGGACAAGTGTGAGACGGCTCACATGGCGGGAGACAGTTCTGACGACACCTCTAAGATAATGAACTCTGAACTGCCAGTTGCAGTTGAGGAAAGGAATCTAGACGTTTCTATAGATTATTCCGTCAAGATATCATCAGATCATGTAAAGCCAAAATGCCAGTAAATAAAGACAAAACATTTGCTTCAACAAAACCTCAGAAAACCCTTCTTGGGGTTCAGTGTGTGGGGCTGGTCACTGTATTGCAAGAAAAACAACAGCTAAAAAAAGAGCTAAAATGATGAAACGATAAGATTAAAAGGCTAAGAGTTTAAAAAAAATAAAAAAAAGGATTGAATGCCCATAAAAGGTAACTATCTGAGAGGAGATGAAAGTCTATAAAAACACATAAGGTCCAGGAAAAGTAAAAAAAGCCCTTTTCATACAATCCCATGATGGTGAAATTAGGGAGCAAAAGAAGCTGGGAAAGGTGGGTCATGCCTATGTAGAAAAAGGTTGTTGGAGAGCATCCAAGAGAAGGTCCTTTTTAGACAGGGGGTCCTTAAGTGTCCTCCAATATATGGAAGGACACTCGGTAGCTGTCAGCAGCGTGGAGGACAAGCCCCCTCCGCAGTCTTTTGTTGGGACAGAAACTACGCTGGACTGGTGGGTGCTTTCTGCTCACGCCCTAATCCCTGGACTATAACCACAGCAACTGAAAAAGAGCAAAAAAACCCCACAGTCACGGCATTCAAAGGATTCGAAATGCTCACATTAAATCTCATTCTGAGTCAAAACTGGACTTCAATTTAAGAGTGGAAGATTTATAATAGGCTAATAAGAGAAATTCAGTCTGTTTGGGGACATAGCCTTAATCTTGGTGATTCCTGACATGGAGATATAGGATGTCCTCACAAGAAGGGTTACTTGGTAGTCTGAATCGGATGAATAAAATAAGAATATTTCCTGAATATTGTTGTCAGCATCTGGCTCTCATAGTCAGAAAGCGGCAGTTACTGGTTGAAACAGGCCGTAGATCATTTGAATTTCACTCCCAGCACAAGGCCTTCAATAGCGTTCAATTAACCAAGGGACTTGCGACCTAACCGTTACTCACGTGAACGGTTACCAGCCTCGGGCTATGGATCCTATGGGTCTTCCGTCACAGATTTAAACAAACAAACAAACAAACAAACAAACAAACAAAGCAAAACCCCAGCCAGCCAACCAGCCAACCAGCCAACCAGCCAACCAACCAACCAAATAAACAAAAAGTCCCGGGTTCAGAGGAAAAGGAAAAGCGGAGGCTAATAACCAGAGGTGTCTTAAGTTTTAGGCCAAGACTTATGCATATAATACATGTGCTCTCTTTTCCCAAACATGTTAGATGCAAGGACCTCATTCCCCTCAAAAGAGAGCAGCGCCCCATCCGCCCCGTGGGTCCTTTACCTGCCTCCGCCCCTCTCTAGCGGTGAGGAGCTGTCCGCCCCGCCTCCCTGCCGTCGGGGCGCCGCCTTCCCGTCCACCTGTGTGCCCGGCCCCTGACGTCACGGCTCGACTTCAGCGGCAGACAGGGTTCTGGCTCCTGATTGGCTCGCCCGACCGCGGCCGGGCAGCCCACCAATGGCAGCGGCGCTGGATGCAGGGATGCCCACATCCAAGATGGCGCTCCCAGGCGCTGGGAGCCGTTGACCGGCGGCGGGGAAGCGGCCTGGGTTGGCCCTCCGATTGCGGGATCCTGGGGGCATCTCGCCGGGTACCCCGCTGGCCCGCCTAGAAGGCCTGCCCTGGGCCCGAGCCATGGCTGCCGAAAACAGCAAGCAGTTTTGGAAGAGGAACGCCAAGCTGCCGGGGAGGTGAGCCCAGGACGCTGAGTGGAAGAGGAGATCGGACCAACCCTTCCAGATCCCCAGCCCTAAACCCCGCGGGCCTGGGGCGCCCCCGCCCCCGGGAGGCTGTGTTGGCACCCGGGGCTGGGGGGGCAGGGCAGCTGTCAGGCGGAGGGGCAGGCGGTGGACTTTGGGGGTGGCTGGGTGGGAGTGGGAGCAGCCGGATCTGTGGTGGAGGGCGCGGGAGGGGCTGCCCTCAGCCTGGAGGTGGCTGGGTCCGGCGTGAAGGACTGGAGTTGGGTGAGTAGCCAGTGCCCGTCCTGGCCTGGGAGGGCCATCCCCAGAGCTGCTGCTTACTTTAAACACAACTCCCTCTTGGGGGTCTCCACACGCACAGGTGGTTGTTTGCAGGGGGATGGCCCCTTCCCTCCGCCCCCAATTCCTCACGTACGGATATTTTTCCTGGGCTCCGCTAGGTTCTGCTGGGAGCTTGGGACGGGCGGGGGTGTGTGGGGGAGGTAGAGAAGTGAGGAAAACTCTCAAGCTTGACCTTATTTCATCTTGAGTTGGCCCTTCCCCATGAGGAATTATTGCAGGGTCACCCGAGAATCGAGGTTATTTCTTTGGCATTTATTTTCTAAGGATTTGTTGAACTCCATGTGACTCCTTACCCCCATGCATTGTGATGTTGTGCAAAAAACGTTTTCATGCACCAAGTTTTTTCATTCTTCAGTTCTTTAGCTACTTTCTCCCCACCCCCCTTTTGGTGTATGTTGAAATGCATAGCAATTGCACATCCATCAATCCGCTGTTGGTTTCCAGTTTCAATTTGCTTTGGGCAGAGTCCTGAGAAGTAGAAGGACAAGCGCATGCTTCAATTGTGAATTCAAGGTTTCTGCCAGCTACAGTCTACTTGGTGATGAAATTCATGTTGTGCTCCACGTGCTACCTTTCCTAATTGATTCTGGGATAATCCTTTGAACTGTGGCTTTTTTTTTTTTTTTTTTTTTTTTTTTTTTTTTTTTTTTTTTTTTAAATATAGCATAAGAGTAAAGCAGGTCAGAGGTGGCTATATAGCAGTCTTATTTTATTTAGGATCCTATTAAACATATGGAGAATAGAGAGGGAATCAGCTTATAATAATACAACATTAAAATAACACAGAGGAATGCAGAGATAGCTTCAAATTAAAGTGCTGTGGAATTACAGCGTTAATATTAATGCCAAAGACTTTTATGTTTTTAGATAAACACCATTTCCTGCCAACTGATTCCTTTTCCTTCCTGATCTAGTGAGCTCTCCAGCCTCACTAACTGTTCACTGGGGTTTTCCATAGTGACATCATTAAATGTTGACATCCTAAGGCTATAAGCAGAATCAATGGGAAACTGTTACGTGTGGGAATGGCATGGTATGTTGTGCCTACTGACTGCTAGTTGTTATTAACCGTCTTCTGTTTTCTATATTTCCTCTTTTGGGCTGTAGGAGTAATCATCTTTTTCAAAGCACTACTTGGGTAAGATAGAAAGGGGGGTCTCTCTTTAGTTTCTACAAGTTTCTGGCTTCCTTTTTCATTTTGAAGAGGACTCTAGAGAGCGAGAGGAGAAACCACTTGAGCACAGGAAAACTTGGGGTATTATCTGGACTCTTACCTGTACAATGAGGGACAGATGATTTGCTCAGTCTCTCTAGGCCTCAGTTTCCTTGTCTATGGAAAGAGGTTAAAAATACCTTCCTCAGGGTTACTGTGAGGACTAAATTAAACACCCTGTTTGCAAAGAGCCAGGGACAGTGTTTATTGAGCACGTTATAGTTGCTCAGTAAACACTGGTTATCACTTTTACTGTTATTGCCAGAGCCAGTAAACATTGAAAAGAATGTTTCCCAGATCCTTACCCCAGCACGAGGTATTTATATTCATTGTTTATCTTAAGGCATTAAAATGTGGCCACAATTCATAATAGTTTCTAGTGCTTGCTTGTTGAAGGGAATTTTATTTAGTTGTGGTTTTAGCAAGGAAGCCCCAGGAGCCCCTGGTTGTGGGAGAAAACTATTTTGAGACAGTAAGTGCTTTGATTTAAGGAAAAGATGAGGGCATTTTCTCAAGAATAGAATTTTTGCATGTGTATTCTTTCGGTTTGAGTGAAGAAAAACTTTCTCCGTGGTGGTAAAATGACATAGGTCGAGGTCCATGAATGCCTAGAAGTGAAACTAGTTCACTCCTCTTTGCAAATTGAAAGGGAAAAACTCAGTGATGGCAGGTTCCTTTCAGTTTCTTTGATTAAGACCTGACAATGTTCACGATTAGAAATAGGAATTTTATTTAGTAAAATAGCCTAAGTTCACAATGAATTAAGCATCCTTTTTCAAAACAGATTTACTGAGATATAATTCACATACCATAAAAATTCATGGATGGTTTTGTAAACCATCATCACTAATTTCAGAACATTTTTACCACCCAAAAATAAACCCCATATATATTAGTAGTCACTCTCCATACGCCTTCCCACACCCCAAACCCCCAAACCCCTGCCCCTGGCAACCACTAGTCTTTCTGTTTGGTTTATCTATTCTAGACATTTCATATACATGGAATAATGTAATATGATACCTTTTTTTAATTTATTAAGCATGTTTATTAAGCATGTTTTCAAGGCTCAGCCTTTTTATGGCTAAATAATATTCCATTGTATGGATATATCTCATTTTGTTTATCCATTCATCAGTGAATGAACATTTGAGTCATTTCCACTTTTTGGCTATTATGAATAATGCTATGAAATTCATGTGCAGGTTTTTGTGTGGATGTATGTTTTTCTTTTAACACATTGTGGACCAGTAGTTTTATTGCTAACTTTACCCAGTGGCCAAATTAGTTTCTATTGACTGAGTACAAAATGTTTTACATAATGTTAAAGGCACACTTTAAAATTAAATACCAATTGCATTTTGAAGTTATTTATTACATGGTTTTACAAGCTAATATCTTTTTAAAATATGATTGGCCACAAGCCTTAGAACAGAAAACACAATAATTCTGTGATCCGTCCACAATGTGTTAAGTATATGTAGGCGTAGAATTGCTGGGTCTTATTGTAACTTGATAGAATTAAACTTCTCTTTATTATATTTAGCTAACACCTCTACCATGTCACATGTTTTAGAGAGGAAGGGAGTGGGAGAGAGAGAGAAACATCAATGATGAGAGAGAATTGATCTGATGCTTCCTGCACTGCACACCCCCTACTGGGGATCAAGCTTGCAATCCAGTCATGTGCCCTTGACCAGAATTGAACTCGGGACCCTTCAGTCCGCAGGCCAGTACTCTCTCCACTGAGCCAAACCAGCTAGGGATTTGTTTTATTGTTTTTTTGTGTGTTTTTTTTAATCCTCACCCGAGAGTATGCCTTTATTGATATGCCTTTATATGCCCCGACCAGGTATTGAACTTGCAACTTGGGTATGTGCCCTAACCTGGAATCAATCCCGTAAACTTTTGGTGCAGGGGACAAAGCTCCAATTAACTGAGTTAACGAATCACCTGGCCAGGGCAAATGAAACACCTTTTTAAGTTCTCTGAGTTATTCCTAAGAGCCCAGTGTATTTTTTTTTTTTTAATTCTTGATAGTTTTACAGATGTCTCCCATTTCCCCCTCCTTTATCCCTCTCCCATGTCTTTACCACCCTATTGTCGTGTCCTTAGAGCCCAGTGTACTAAGTATATCAAGTATTCCTGGGAAGATAGGAGGCAGCAGCACTACATGGAAGCTTTCAGCTAGTAATTAAATAAATCCCGGAGATCTAAGGCACAGCATAGTGATTATAGCCAACAAGACTTTGAAGTTGCTAGGAGACTAGATCTTAATTGTTCTCGGCACAAAAAAGAAATGATAATTATGTGACATGGTTAGAGGTGTTAGCTAACATTTTAGTGGTAATCAATTACAATACATTGTACATCTTAAACTCCCACAATGTTTATGTTAAAAAAGAAAAAGAAAGAACTTACTGCCCAAGTTCAAATCCAAGCTCTGCTACTTTCTACCCGTGGGACTTTGGGTAAATTATTTAATCTCTGAGCCTAGACTGCTCATCTGTAAGATGGGGGTAGAGTATTTAACCCATAAGGCTATTATGAGGGTTAAATGAGGTAATGCATAGAAAGAGGTACTCAATAATATTAGCTGTTATGAAAATGACTAGAGGACCGGTGCACGAAATTCATGCATGGGGTGAGGGCTTTCCCTCAGCCCGGCCTGCGCCCTCTCACATTCGGGACCCCTTCGGTAGGGTCCCTAGGCCTGGCCGGTGAGCAGGGCCTATCGGAGCTTTCCTTTCCCGGCTGCTGGCAGCTAGCCCTGCCACTGCCACTACTTGCCATCTGTGCGGCACTGCCCCACGCGTTGCCTCTCTGAGGGTGACAGTGTGTGGGGTGATTGCTTGGCTGGCCTGGGCCCCTCTGCGGAGCGATCGCTGACCAGCCCGCACACCACCACCGCGTTGCTGGCCAGTGGACTGGGCCTCCCTCTGTGGGGCTCCACAATTGATCACTCAGCAGAGGGAGGCCCCACCCACTCGGTTGTGACTGATCACTGTGCAGAGGGTGGCCTGGGCCTCCCTCTGTGGGGTGATCACGGAGCCCCCACCCCCACCCCCTGATCGATCGCCCTAACAACATTGGCCTGGGTCTCCCTCTGTGGGGCGATCATAGAGCGATGGCAGGGCCCCCTGACCAATCGCATTGCACCTGCCTTGGCTGGCCTGGCGCCAGTGTGTGTGTGTACCAGAAGGTCGTCCAGATGTTGTTCTGCTGTAGGTCGTTTGGTCAACTTACATATTATACTTTTATTATTATATACTAGAGGCACTGTGCATGAAATTTGTGCATGGGATTGGGGTCCCTTCAGCCCAGCCTGCACCCTTTCCAATCTGGAACATCCCTCTCCCAATCCTGGACTGCTGACTCCTAATTGCTCACCTGCCTGACTGTCTGATCGCCCCTAACTGTCCTCCCCCTGCCGACC